AGGCGCTGGAGCCGAGGGGCGCCGGAGGCAGCCCTGAGCGCACTCCCAGGCCACTCGCGGTGTCTGGCAATCGAGATGCGAGGCGTGAAGCCGGTGTGTGGCAGTAGCCTCGATTTTCTATTTATTTCCCTTCTTATCTCTTCTGGGGAGCCGGGCAGATAATTTACTGCTGGTGGATGCCGTGGCGGCCGAGCCTGCCCCGTCGGACCCCTGTATGTCCATCCCTGGACCCACTTGTCTGAACCAGAGCAGGGACGAGTGGGAGCTGATTGGAAAAGCAAAGCGGCTTCGGAGGTGGGGAGCTGCAGGAGCCTTTTCTGTGCACTGTTAATTGGAGGCTTAGGGGTAGGCTGGGCCRAATAGCTGGGGATAGGGAGTTACCTCCCCCTGCTCCAAAAAAGCAAAAAAGAAAAGAAAGCTCCTGCAGAAAAGCAGCTTTTGGAGAAACCCTTTTGCAGAGAGGACAGCTCGGCAGCTGCCCTGGTGTTTCTAAAACGCCACAGGTGCTTTCAGTGGCACGGCCGTAGCAGGGGACAATAAGACGTAGGGACGCAGGTCTGCTCCCTTTAGCCCCCCGGCTGCTTTGGGGACATCGGGCTGGAAGCCCCGTCCTGGCGTTGGATGCGTTTCACAGGAGCCCGTTAYGGAGCGGGAGCCTTGCCGGGGGCTCGGCCGGGCGCAGCACCCGAGAGCTCGGGCTTTCTGGGAAGCTGCCGCCCGCCGGGGTGACTCCGGGCCCGGGATCCTGCTCCTCGCCGCCTCCTGGGCTGGTTTTCCCGCGCGGATCCCGCTGGAGTGAGCCCACGCTCCCTGCCAAAGCTCTTTATTTGGTATCCGAATGAAAGCCGTGCCTGGCCTGTGTTACAGCTGGCCGTCCTGGCTCTGCTTCTGTCCGAGCAAAATGAAAATGTCCCTTAGGAATAAGGCCCGTTTGCCGGTGCCGCGGGAGCGCTGCAGGGTCGGTAACCTTTTCTCCTCCCTCGCTTTGCTGCAGACATCCCGAGAGCCAGAGCAGGGGCTCTCCTTTTAACAGCCGGCCCCCGACGGGTTTCAGCGTCCRGGCGGGCGCGTGGGGAGGTTTTTGGTACTAAAATAGTGCCCCGGGTGCCCGCGGTGCCGATGCGCCTGGCTCCTCTCGCGCTGTGAAGCCGCAGCTGGTGTTTGTGGGGCCGCTTAACCAGGAGAGCGGGAACGGGAGGACCCGAGTGGGGAAAACGCAGCGGCGATCGCTTAGATCGGGGAGGAAAACACGGGAGCGCGGTGACTGTCGTAAAATTATTTGCATTTGAGGTTTGTGCTTTGGGGGTACACGGATTGCTAGGGCTGGGCTGTTTTTGTCTAGCATCTCATTATTTAATGTATGGAGGGAGTCGTTCCCTGCAGTGGGAGCAGAGCAGGAGTTGGTCGTGAGCGTCTCTGAATTGAAAATCACGTTAGGAGGCGGTTATCTCCGTTTATATTAACTCCTCTTAAATAAAAAAAAAGGAAAAAGGGGGAAAAAAAAGGGAAATACTGCTAAGAAAAGGGGACGGGTCCAAGTTGCTGTTCTTCAGGCGTGGACGCCGTGTTCTGTCATGGGAAAATCTGCACCGCTGCAGTGCCCAAACAGCTGCTTCCCCAACCTTGGCTTTTCCCAGCGTTGGAATTCAACCTTAATAACAGCTCTGCTTTTTGTGGATAAACAGGCTGATAGAATTGGGGAGCGAAGCGCGAGGAGGGTGTCGCGGTGGGAACCGAGTCGTGTAGAGACTGGTCGAGGACGGGAACGTCTGGAAGATGGCTGGTGTTGTCCGAGGAACCCGGCTCCCATCCYGTGGATCCCATCCGTGTATGGGCTGGACGCAAGGCAGGGCTCGGGCTGGAAGGCAGAGCCTTGCAGGTGGCTTTGTTTAACCTAGGAYGGGTTTCTGGTGTGGTAATTGGAGCCCATTCATGGCACTGCGGCCCTCAGCTGATACTGATCGTGCCCTGGCTCCAAACCTGCTGCTCCCAGTTTGGTAGCCTCTGGATACGGGTGTGGGAAAGGAGAAACAAAGGACGTGTCTATAACTAATCTCGGCTCCTGTTGACATTCCGGGGCTGAAACAAGTTTTTGCTGCTTAAAAAAACCCCTGGAGATGACATTTAAAGAACAGAGAGCGGAGAGCAGGGGAGATAGGGCCGTACAGTAGGGTCATCCTGCCCCATTTATAGCAGCCTGTCCCGAGGGAACCGGGGAGCCCACGGGTGATTTTCCCTGGATGTGGGTTTCTTTTSCTGCAACTCTTTGGGTTGGAGTTTAACCAACAAGATCTCATTGACCGTAGCAAAGCTTTCAACGGGGCGCAGAGCAGAGAGAACCCGGGCGCCGATTTGCCCGGAGAAGAACAAATTCTCTTCCAGGTATGTAAACATTTCACCCGCTAATGACTGCCCGGCGCGAAGGACTAAAGCCTGGCCTTGCCTCGTGACAGCAACAGCAGCGGGCAGCGAGTCTGCGCCGTGCAGAACTTGGATGTCGAAATCCTGCGTAAATGGCAAAACCTTTAAGCTGCCGGCGCTGCCTCRAGCTCATCTGGTGCTTCCCTCCTAACTAGTGCAGTTAACAGTGTTGTTTTGGTGTGATTTGCACAAGAAAAGTGTAAACTGTACAGTTGTGTTGAACCTGTTTAAAAAATATATATTCCCTCTTGTTCCTCCTCCCCAGGCCCAATTTATCGAGGGTTTTGTGCCGTCCGTTCGGTCTGTGCCTTGGAACAGGGATCCGTCGGTGCCGTTCCCGGCGTGCTGGAGCCCAGGGGGTTTGTGCAGCTGCTGCGTGCAGAGCCCTGCTCTGCCTAAACCCGGCTTAGGGAGCTGTGCCAGCAAGCACCGTGCTCAGCTTTGCGTTGTGCTCCACGTGGGAAAAGGGGACAGGAAACACTGGCAAGGTGTCGCAGGCGTCAGGGTTTTCCTGCTGTATTTTCCCCTCTGGAAAGCTCTTTCAGCAGCTGCATTTTGGGTCTTCTGGGCAGGTGGCTTGGTTGGAATCAGTCATAAAGACAGCGTAGAGTGAGAGAGAAGGTCATGCTGCGAAATGTTGATGTGATTTAGGGGGATATATATGCCAAAAGGACAAAAAGCCTTCACTTTTCTCTTGGTTTTCAGCTTTTGTAGCCTTAAAACCACCCCGAATGTCCCGTTCGGTCTGGATTTGGATTTGCTTTGCCCTGGCTGAGCTGGAGGCTCCCAGAGGTTGGGCAGGCAGAAGTTCTCTCCCCATTCCGAATTCGCCGACCCTTTCACAGGGATCTTCGTTCCTGGATGCTCAGCAGCACTTGATTTAAGTCGSTTTAACGGAAACAAAACCCCCAGCTCTGCCTTCGTTGCTCGGCTGTTTCGCTCTTCTGCCGTGGATGATCCTTAGCAGCTCCTTAGTCATCTGTATTTTCCCAGAACAGGGCGAAGGGAGCCCTGAATATCTGGAATTCAGACAGGTTTTTGCCTGTTTCGGAGCCCTGTGGAGGAACTTGCCAGCCCGTCTGTTTTTCCTAGTTCTTCCTTAACTTGCAGTGTATAAAAGCCAGCCCAGAAGTGCTGGGGATAACAGACTGATTTGCTGCCTGGTCCCACTGGAGCGATCAGGCGAGCCTTGGGAAAAGTGCACTTCAACCAAAGACTTCAAGGATGTTGAAACACCTCGCATTGGTTTATCATTTGGAAAACAAACTTGAATTAAGATCAAGGTGAAAAGTTCAGCTCCTTTCCTCCACTACCTGCTCAGCTTTGGGCCTTGGGCCGTTTTTGAGGGAGTTTCTTCCTAACGCGGCACCCGTGTCCCGCAGGCAGCTCCTGTCGTGCAGCGGGCTCTGCAGATGCTCCTGCTTTGGGCAGCCCTTTGCAGTCGCTCCTGCGCCAGGACAGGGACTACAGGATCTGGATTCCTTCCCTCCCGCTCCGGGGCCGGTTGTGGGTTCAATCCCACGGGAACCAAGCCCGTCCTGGCGCTGGGATCCTCTCGCCGCTACCGGATGGTCCCTCGGCTTTTGCGCCGTCCGTGCTCAGCTCCTCGCCGCCCTCGGCGCAGCTCTGAAGCGGAGATGCCTGTGGGCCCTCGGAGGGTTTTGCACCGAGAACAGCGGGTGCTTTTTGGGTGCCTTGAGCTGTGGTTTGGGCACGAGGCTCGGGGGGCACCGGGGATAACCCCCGTGTCCAGAAGGGACATTTYGGCGCTCCGAGGGCTCTGACATCCCCTCCTCACCCGCGTGCGAATTTCCCTCCTGTTGCAAATGTTAGGGGTGAAGAGATGAGGACCGAAAAGCCGCCTGGGYGCAGAGGGAGAGCAGGAGAGGTCTCTTTGCAGAGGCTTCAGGCGGGAGAAGATGCCAGAAGCTGCTGCGCGATGCCGCTATGGAGCTGTTAACCCTCCTTTCATAGGAGCAGCTGCGGGTTGTGTTATCACTGTCTTTTAATCCACCTATAAATTGAAGGTTCAGCCTCCTCTTTGAAGGCCCGTAGCGCTCGGGTGGTTCTTATCTCTACCCTTACGTGTCACCTGCGRGTGGTTGCTGATTCTTGTCTCAGTCGTGGCCCTGCTGGGTGTAATTTCGTTTTGGGATAAAGCGAGATTTCCTTTGCCTAGGAAAGGCAGATTTTGGTCGTGCCGACCCTTCAGAGACGGCCCCGCCACCGGCCAGCCCGCCACACGTGCAGGCGGAGTTTTGTAAGTTAAAATTAACACTGYGAATAAAATTCACGCGCTTCTGAGGAAGGGGGGAGGAGAAACGTGTGCCTCGCAGGGTCCTGCTGTGGATTGCCGGCCCCGGAGACGCTGCCTGGGCCTCCTGCTGCCCGCGCCAGCAGCGGGCCCTGCCTGGACCTGTGTTATAAAGAGCAGGGAGAGCCAAAACTTGGGTAATCGGGCGCAATTCCGGCGTCGCCGCCTGGTTTAGAGCCGATGCTGCTGGAACGGGGACCCTTCCCGCTCCATCGCTTGGAGATGGACCTTTCCACGGCCAGTTTCCAGTAGCATCAGGGCCTGGATGGCGGGTGCTTTAACTGCTGAATTTCCTAAATTTCTTCTGGTGCTAAAGAGTGGGTTCCCCCGGAGAGGGAAGGAAGGAAGGTTTGTGACTCCCAAACGAGAAGCGGTGGGAACTTTGTTTTGTTGTCTGGTGTCGTTTTAGGATTCAGCTCTCAGGAYTGATTTAAAGGCAGCTCTGGAATTTCTGTGGTGGGAAATGGAAAATTATTTATTTATTTATTTTGATGCATCTAGAGAAGATCTCAGTTTGCTCTTAGATGCGGAGATTGACTGGCCTGGAGAGGCAGTTGGGAAGCTCGGAGCCCTGGTGTTGACGTAGTTGGGAAAGACTTGGCAGATCTGCAAACCGAGGGCTAGAAAGGCCCCGAAAACTCCCCGTTTTCGGGCGCCGGTGCCGCCGCGGTCTCTCGTTGTCGCCGCGCAGCCGCGTGGCTGCGGGAGATACGGGTGGCCCCGCTTATCTCGGCCGTCCCGTGGCCRGCGGAGGTGCCCGAGCTGCCCTTGGCCGGGATCCCGCGGCTCTGCCCGGCGCGTCCCGGGGCTCCCGCGGCTGCTCCGGCTGCTGCCGTGGGGAAGGCCGGCGCTGCCGGGTCTCCGTGGAGCGGGGGGACCCTGGGAGCGCCCGTGCCGCTCGCCCGCATCCCGGGATGTGGTAACGGAGCTGCAAGCGCTAAGGAGCGTCCAAACCAGGGCTAGTGGTGGCCGGGAGCGCCGCTGGAGCGGCCTGGAAGGCCTCGGAGCAGCACGGGCGTCGGGCACTCCCAATTACACAGGGCAATTAGCRGCGTCCTGCAAGGGGCTCGGCTGTTTGCCAGGCCGGTGGAGACCCCTTTGGCAGGGGCTGACCCACTGGGATGGCGGGAAGGCCGGAGCACCCGGAGCCCGGCTTCGCTCCCTGCTAAATACCCCGGTGTCTCCAGCCCCGCGTGGGGCTCCCCGCTAAATACCCCGGTGTCTCCAGCCCCTCGTGGGGCTCCCCACTAAATACCCGGGTGTCTCCAGCCCCTCGTGGGGCTCCCCACTAAATACCCCGGTGTCTCTGGCCCGACTTTGCTCCCCGCTAAATACCCGGGTGTCTCCAGCCGCGCGCGGGGCCCGTGGGGCTGCGGCACTCACCTCTCTATGCTCTTTCCCTGCGCAGGTGGCGCGAGGAGCCGCCGGGCGCCCCGCGCCCCCTCGCTCGACGCCGTCGTGGGCTCCTACCTGCTGGGCCAGTGGCCGCGCGACGCCCGCGGCGCCTCCGCGTCCCGCACGAGCGACAAGGCGACCCAGGTAGAACCCCGGGCCAGGACCGAGCCCGGCTGCGAGCAGCGCACGGGCCTTAAAGCGTTAACGTCCGTCTGTCCAGCTGCAGCTTTCTAGGAAGGCCCTTTTCTTCATCCCTCTTTTGCTTCTCGGCTTCGATTCATTTCRCTTTGGCACGGTTAGAATTTCCTCGGCCTCGTTGGGCGGCAGATGGCCGCTGCCTCCCTGCTCCATCGCTGGCTCCGTGCTGCTTTTTCCCCCTTCTGGCTATTGCTGCTCGGGGCCAAGTCCTTACATAACCCGCGTGGGCTCTGGGTTAGGGTTAACCCTAGGGCTAACCCGGAGCCTAACCCTCCGGGCTGCTCCCGCAGACGGGCGCTCGGCCCCAGCAGCGCAGGCTCTGCCGCGGGCTGGGCAAGCTGCAGCCCTCGAGGAACTCTTAGCTCCCTGTACATGTTGCTGCAGRGCAGCGAGTGCTGCTCGCCGGCGTGCAGACACCAGGGCGCTCGGAAGGGTCCGAGCACCCGCTTGCTTAAGCGGCCGTTTATTTAGCACCTTCAGCCTGTGTTAACTCGCTGCTTGATCTTTGCTATTCAGCAGTTTATTCCTGCGCGGTCCTGCCTGCGCCAGGAGATGGGGAATAGGAGCCGGGTTCCTGGAGCGCTGCCGCGGCCTGGCCGCTCGTCCCGCGCTTCCAAGCCTAGTAAAGCCGAGCCCGGGGCTCTGCCTGCGCATCTGCCTCCCCCGCGGCTCCTCGCGGGCTGCTCYGCAGAGCTGTGGGCATTGGCGCTCCGAGGGGCTTGGTGGGGCGAGGGGGGCAGCGGCGCGAGGACACCCCACGTTTTGGCTCTCCTTTTTTTCCTGAGGAAGCGGTTTTGTCACAGTTGGTACAAGAAGTTCTGCAACTTCCTTCTGCCTCGGGCGCGAGGCTCTGCGCTCTTCCAGGCCCTGCTATTGCAGAGAGGGACTTTTTCTTCCTTTTTAGGCCCTGTTTCTGTGTGAATCCTGGTACGGCGCTTAGCGCTGCGAGTATCAAGGCAACGGCCGCAAAGCCGGTGCCCAGGGCAGAGACGCGGAGGCCGCTGAGGCCCGAGGAAAGGCCCCAGGGCCCCGGTTTGCACCGCGGTGACACGGGACGGGGCCGGGACACCGTGTCCTGGCACGGGTGGCAAATACCCTCGTTGCAGTTGGCTGGGGGAGAAGCTGCTCCGTGGGGTTGCTCTGTTCCCCGGGGCTACCCCAGCAGCACCCCAGGCCGCTCCGAGCTCGGCAGGAGCTCCATAACACCCTGTGGTTCGTGGGGCCTTTGGCCGGGTTCCTTTGGATGAACTGGGTGTCCAGAGCCCTCTTGGGGATAGAGGCTCCCGCCGCCCCGCGCCCCCGGAGCGGCTCCTCGCATGGGGCTGCGCTCAGGCCCTGGCGCTGCGAGAGGCCCCGGGCGCGACGCTGGGCGCCGGGGAGGCACCGAGGCCGGGGGCGCCGGCACCGTTGCCGCTCGATCCTGCGAGCACTGAACTGCGGGCAGGTCTGGCGAGGTTCTCCAGCAGGCACAGGCGGTCGGAGCCGCGCGGGTTGGGGCGCATCCAGGTCCTCGGAGGGCGCTCGCTGAGCGCCTGTGCTGGAACAGGGCAGCGCCCGGGCGGCTGTCGGCCCCTTTTTCCCTTCGCTGTCCCGCTTCAGTCTCGAACAGGTCAACGTCGTGGCTGTTCTCAGCCCTGTTTCTCTCCCTTCAGACTCCGGGATCGTGGTGCGAGACGGAAGCGGGCAGAGCCCCGTGCGGCCCCCACAGGCGCTCGGCGTCCTGGGGTAGCGCAGATCACCGCCGGGAGGTGAGCGAGGCACCGCGGTGCCGCGGCAGGGCTCATCCACGGGAGGGCCGGGATGAGGCTCCTGCAGGAGACACCGGGCCTTGGCCCGTGCCCTGGTGCCGTGGGCCGCTCCCTTCCTCGGCGGCGCTTGGGGCTTTTGGCCGGGCCTCGCTCGGAGCTTCCTGCGGGAAGGACCCGCGTCCTGCGGGAAGGACCCGCGTCCTGCAGCAGCGGCCTCGGGAACGGGGCAGCCTGAGGGGCCGGGGTGGCCAGAGCCGCTCACTGCCCCGTGGCCCTTGTGGGGGGCTGAGGGGCAGGGAGGCCGGTCCGGCTCGGGGCCCGAGGGAGGCCGGTGCCACTCGGGGCGGGAGCAGCGCCCCGGCCGCCGCTCGCTCGCGCTCAGCTCCTCCTGCGTTTCCCTATTCCCATTTCYGCGCTTCCCACTTGCTAGATGGCCAGACTGAAGCAGCAGCTGCAGCGAACGAAGCTGAATGGCAGGAGCGGCAGCGACAAGGAGCCGAGCTCCCCGGCGCGGGGGGACCCCGCGGTGCTGGCATCGCTGCGGGTAGGTGCAGGGTCCCCCCGTCCCCGCTCCGCTGGCCCTGTGCCCCGAGGAGACGCAGCTCCCGTTCCTGCCGGCTGCCCCCGCTGCTCCCACTGCWGCCCTTGGACCTGGGAGCAGAATTTTTTCACCCCCCTCYTTGCCTCCCTCCCTCCCTGAGCACTGTCCCCCGTGAGTGAGCACTCCCCTGAGTGAGTGAGCACTCAAGCACTCCCCTCCGTGACTGAGCATTTCCTCCATAAATGAGCACTCTGCCCCCCATGAGTGAGCATTCGCCCTGTGAGTGAGCAATCCACTCCCCTTGTGAGTGAGCACGCCTCCCATGAGTGAGCACTAGACTCCCGTAAGTGAGCACTCCCCCCAGTATGCATTCCTCTGAGTGTGCGCTCCCCCTGTAAGTGAGCACTACGCCTCCCGTGAGTGAGTACTCCTCCCTGTGACTGCTGCGATTTGCAGCCAGTTTTCCAGGCCCCTTCTTTCACCTCCTGAGGGCTCTGCGGGGCTGGGAATGGGGGCATGCGGGGCTGGGAATGGGGGCATGCAGGGCTGGGAATGGGGATGCAGGGCTGGGAACGGGGATGCGGCTGCGGAGGCGCCTGACTCTTCCTGTCCCGCCTGGACCCTTGCAGGCCTCTCCTTCGGGATTCCTTCCTCCGTCTCCCATTGTGAGGCTCAGCCCCTGCTTGCACCGCAGCCTCGAGGGGCTGAACGAGGAGCTGGAGGGAGTGTTCGTGAAGGAGCAGGGGGACGAGGAGCTGCTGAGGGTGAGTGGAGGCGGCACGTGTGGAGACGCTCCGTGTGGAGCGGCACGCGGGGGCTGCCGGGCTCCGTGGCCGCGATGGGCGCCGCGCGCTGCCCCGGGCCGCGCTCCTCGTGCCGGGCTCGGGAGCGGCTCCTCGGGCTGCGCTGGTGCCGGCCGCTCCGGGAGCTGCTCCCTGCTCTCCCTGCTGCGCCCTGAGCCCTCCCCACGCGTGTCCAGCACCGGGAGAAGGGAAGGGAGCCTGAGAAGCGAGTCCAGCAGCTTCCCTATCCCCGCCGCCACAGCGCCGGGGTCCCTTTGGCCAGCGTGGGTGCAAGCGCCATCAGGCTTTTCCACGAGGATGAGGGAGGTTTCATCCTCTCTGCTTCCTCCCTAGATCCTGGACGTCCCGGATGGCCACAGGGCGCCGGCGCCAGCGCAGAGAGGCCCCGGGGCTGCGTCGCTGGCACTGGAGCCCGGCAGCAGCCGCTGCAGCCTCTCTCTTTCTCCGTCCTCCTCCGTGCCCCTGCGCCTTTCCCCGCGCGCCCCGCTGAGGCTGATGGCAGGAGAGCTCTCCCCGGCTGCGGATGAGGTGCAGCCGGATCCCAAGGAGCAAGGTAACCGCCGGGAGCGGCGATCGCAGCGTGCCCCGCGTCATCSCCGTGCCTTGGAGGCCGCAGGGCTAAGAGGCAGGAGGAGGTCACGGCCAGCTTGGCTGGACTGTAATGGACTCCTCAGGTTCCAGGAATGAGCCTCCAGGTGGAGCATCCCCCCTGGATCAGGGGATACAAGCTGGATACATCCCCCGGGTTGGGGGGATACAAGCTGGAAATGAAGCGGGTCTAACGTTGTGGCTTGGGCTGCTGTAGCCCCGGGGCCTGGGAAAGGCTGGTGTTGATTTCAGGAGCTCTCTTGGTTTCTTTTAACATCTCCTCAAGAAAACCCCGTCTTCCTTCCCTCCTAGAGGCTGGCAGCCCTTCCCCAGGGCCGGCCTTTGCTGCTTCTCCTCGGCCCAACCACAGCTACGTGTTTAAACGGGAACCTCCCGAGGGATGTGAGAAAGTCCGGGCCTTTGAAGAAGCTTCGTAAGTACGAGGAGCCGTGGGCCGGGAGAGCTCGTGTGGGGCTGCTGCTGCCTCCCTGGGGCCAGAAAGTGGGGAAATGGGAAAAGGGAAAAGCTCCCCAGGTGGAAATGCGGCTGCTCGCGTCCCGGGGCCAGAGCTCAGAGGGTCTTTTGGTTCCCTCCCCTTCCCAGCCATGAGTGTTTTCTCCCCCATTGCGGCACYGTGCAGCAAAAGGGCTGGTTCTGCTGTAGCTAAATGTGCTTTGGGAGCAAAGGGGTCATYGTAGCGCCCTGCAGAGCCCGTTCCACGAAGAGAGGGGCAGGAGAGGCAGCCCCGTGTTCCCGGCGCAGCCCTGYGCCCTCGGGAGCGCCCCTTGCTCATCTCCTCCGCTCTCCTCCCTGCAGATCCCCCAGCCCCGACCCGACCTTCCAGCCTTCCTGCCCGGACAAGAACAAAGTGCACTTCACCCCCACGGGCTCTGCCTTCTGCCCCGTGAGCCTCGCGAAGCCGCTTTTCCCGAACGTGAGCTTCCTCTTCCACAGCTTCCCTGCTGCCTCTGGCACGGGCTCCTTGGTGTCCTGCCAGCCCTCGGCGCCCGGCCCGTTCCTCGGCGTGCGGGAGGACGTCGCCGGCTTCAGCGAGGCGGCCGAGCCGCCCTCGTTGCGCTACGAGCCCTGGCAGCCCGAGGAGAGCGTCGCCTTCCAGAGCTCGCTCGTGGTGTGAGGCCGGGGCGGCCCGTGGAGCGGAGGGCACGGAGAGGGGCGCCCGGGGAGCCCTCGCTGCTGGGGGGCCAAGTGCCGAGCCCGCCCCTTCGGGCACTGCCCTGCGTCCCGTGTCCCGGCTTCGCTGGTCGAGGGCGGCGCCGGTGGGAATCGGCTGCAGCTTCCCGGGCTTCTCCCCGCTGTGTCGCTCGGGACCCTGCGGAGCCCTCGGCGGGAGAGGGGACACGCAGGGAAGCTGCTTTGGCCGGGCAGAGCCGAGGAGCCTCTTGAAGAGACGTTTTGGAGCGGGCCGGGCCGGGCGGCCGTGCCGAGGCCCCGGGGGCTCTGTCCTGTCCTCCGTGCGGGCGGGCAAAGGTCCTCCCGCTGCCATGACCTCCGGCGGGGAAAGGAGGGAATATCGGGTCCCTCCCGCTCTGGGGAGGCTGCTGCCCAGCCCCGGCGGCTGCAGCGGGACCGGGCAGGAGCGTCGCCCGGGAACGGGCCTGGGGCTGGGCGCTGCCTCTGCGCCGCGGGACGGACCGCTTGGCTCCGCGCCGGCCCCGCGCGCCTCGCCGCCACACTCTGTTTTCTTCCAAAGACACTATTTTTGCAGCCGTTTGGGGTTTGTATTTTATGTGCGGGCGGGACGGCAGCTCTGGAGCTCACGTGTTTAGGGGAGGGGTTTTCGTTGGTTTCTATTTGCAGAGCCCGATATTGCCAATTAAAAGGARAAAGAGAAAAAAAATAAATATTGTGAGCAGCCGCGGGGCCTCGTTATGGTGCTGAATATTAAGTAGGGGTGTTGAATATTAAGTAGGGGTGCTGAATATTAAGTAGGGGAGCACCGCCCACTCACGTAGCCCCGCCCCCGGCTTAATCCCGTCCCTTTAGCTCCTCCCATCCCCACTCACACATGGGACCGCCCTCCGGGCTTCGCCCCGCCCTCCGGGCTTCGCCCCGCCCTCCGCGCATGCGCGCGCCGCTCCCGAGTCGCTCAGGCGACCGCCTCAATGCCGCCGGGGCCAGGGCCCCTGTCCCGCCCCCCTGCCCTGAGCCAATCCACGCGCTCCACATCGATCTGCGTCACCGCCGCGGACACCCTTGCCGAAGGCCCCCTTCTTGGGGCTGCCCGCTGTACCCGCCTGTCCCGAGAGCGGCCGTGGCGTGGCGAGTGCGGCCGCGCGGCAGGGGCGGGCGCTCCCGCGCGGCACCAGCGCTCGCGATGCCGCCTTCCCGCTCCGCCGCGCCCAGTTCCGCCGCG